ATTTTCATTTATATAGTAATGATCTTGTTTCCGTCCATATACCTCACATTCTAAACCACTTGATTTGAATTACTGTGCTTACACTGGAATAAAGAAGGAATGTATGGTTTTTTGTTTAAATTGAATAAAATTAATAGCTTATGCTATCTCTTTTTAAAACACAGATACACACTCCTGTGTGTTATGAAGATCCGTTCTCTAAAGTTCTCCTTTACAACTTGCAAAAGGTAAAATTTGCACAAGAATAGGTCTAAAGTAATGCTCCACAGAGTGTTGGTGGGAAGGTGATTGTGTTTTGGTAACACCTTGGCCGAACCATAACTGTTGAACAGGAGCATATATGTCGAAAATGGATTTAAATTGCCTTTTGCGCCTTTCAGCAAAATTGGCTTTATTGCATCATTTTAGATGGATTTTTAACAAAACTAGGCTTAAAGTGGTGCATAGTTTCTGCTGACTGCAATATGGGATTTAGAAAAATCCTGTATTAAAGAAGCTTTTCACTAAAAATGGTAGTTTGAATTGTTGAGTAGAATATATATCTTCCCTTTCACTGTGGAAAAAAAAAACACACACATTTTTGGTTGGCTACTCACATATATCATTTGAGACAGTCCAAAAATTTTCCAATAATTCCATCATTTATTTCTAATTTGAACTTCTAGTCACAAGACTTCATTTTGCCTTTGTCTGAGAGATTAGATTCCTCAAGTACTATTAATCTTCTTCCTGCAGATATATTTCTCTATTGATGATACTTATCCAGCCACCATTATCCAAGAAAGAGAAGAATGTGCTCAAGATCACAAAGATAACTTTGATAATGAAGGCAACTGCCAATTGCTTCTGAGTAAAACCTTAACTTCATCACTATTCTTCATGTGTGGAGATCACCATTTTGCAACCAAATAAAACTATCTTAAGAGGAAAAAATAGAAAAAAATATCAAAACATTCTTACTGTATCATGTTTTATGCTGATTTTCCCAAAGGTGCAGAGTTAGGCTGGGCCTTACTGTCTCTCCTGTCCTAGACAGACACACACAGACAGAACCTTTATAGAAATTATTAATTTCTCAAGGTGTTTTGAATAGTGTTGTATTTACATGGTAAACTGAAGCTCTCATATACTCAAGGCATTTGCTGTCCAGATGTTGATGGGAGGTTCCATTGCAAGTGTCTGTGTGGCATCTTCAGCAGAATTAAACAGAATTTACCAAACCACAGTTCTGGATCATTATTACAACCCAGCTCACCTATGGCCCTATGCCCTCAAACATACACACGACCATTTACTATTGATCATCTCCAGCTGCTTGTAGAAACCTGTCTTATGGGACCCTGTCTGCATGAGCAGGGACAGTTTCTTCTGAGTATTTAAAATCTGCCTACGACTTGCTCACAGCCTTGTTCCTGATCAGGAACAGCCTGGGGATACCCCTGCTGTAGACTGTCACAGATATCCCCACTGAGGAGACTAATCAAGGCATACAAACAGTGCCTAACAGGGAGCCTGAGCACAGCGGGGCTCCCCCAGGGCAGGGAGTGATTCAGGACTGTCCACAAGCTCCTTTAGCATGTTTCCTGTTCCTCTGCTGTGAAGGTCCCCATGAGAAACTCCTTTGCCTCTTGTTGGCCTATCTGTCTTGAACCAGCCTGGTGTGCAAACTACACAGAGAGGAAACAAGGACTGACAGGGCAGGGATACAGGCAGAGCCCTGGAGCACAGATGCACCACAGCTTACACTGTGTCCATCAAACTTGAATTTCAGTCTTATATCACAGTTGTATCTTCAGTAGTACAGTGCCTCACTTGTCAAAATTCTTGTGATTTATTGCAAAGGAGATTTTTTGCCCCTTACGCCAATAGTCACCACAGATTAGTAAATATGTTCTATTTTCACCTTAAGGAAATATGAACAATTGACAGAATTCATAAGACAAATATTACAATTGGAACAATATTAATTATATTAATGTAAAATGAGACATCATCTGCCTGGTTTCCTTCACTCTGACATCCATCTACCTAAAGTATAATGTTCTCCTCTTTTCTGCTCCTCATCCTCAGAGTCTGACTTCAAGGAAAGCCAGCACCAAGAAACTAAGGATATTAAGGGAAACAATATGATGTAAAGCAGGAGTTGAACAACAAGGAACAAAGCACATGTTTTCTCTATCAGTGCAAGAATTGACAAGACAAAAACAAGGACTTCCCAAGACTGCTGGAGAGTGGCAGGGTTATGGGAGAACAACCAGTCGGCCAGGGAAAGTGAAAAATAAGAAGTAAAAATGAGACTATTTCAGCTGAGTAATCAAAAAAATATTGGAAGGAATTGTATAGTCAATGTAAGTCCGTGACAAACAGTTCAAAACTGATATATCTCCTCTTACTTTAGGAATATAAAATACTGCCCAATTCATCTTCCTTTACATGTAACAAAAAAAATTGTGCAGTTCCATGGTGCGATGCATTTTGCCTGTTGAAGGTATTTTTTAGCATGTGATGAATTATCACTGTGTATGTTATCCCCCAACAGCAAGACATGTAGCACAGCAAGCGACACTGCTGTAGAGGACTACGGGCAGCTATCCCAATTTGGCAAGGTAAACTCAGTCCTCTGGAGCCAAGGATGTTTCATCTGAAGGAGACATTATGGGGGAAAAACACTTAATCCTTTATGTAAAAATTTGATTTTTTTTTGGCCGATTGTTCTGATTACAGCAGACTGATCTAATTCTTAATCTGCAGAAGTAGAAATTCAAGCATAAGGACTTTAATCTTCACTCACCGTAGTACTGTTATAGTCACTGATTAAAAATGTGCAGCTCTACCTGTAGGTAATTAAACCATATCTTCTCTTCTGCTGGGTTTCCTTCATACAAGTGAAATCTGCTGATTTACTGGGACTGACTTACAGCAGTCAGACTTTCCTATTCACAACAAGAGCTTTAGCCAATGTCATTGGGAAGCTGTTATTTTAAATAGACAGCTGCTTCTTCCAGTATAACACTTTCATACTAGAATGAAATAGCCTTTGAAGGGAAAACCCATTCTCCTAATTCTAGCAGACTGAATATTTTCACTTTCCACTCATATTGTTGGTCATCACATCTTTTATAGCACAATAATTCTTCAAAAGGTCAATTGTGATTCTTATAAGTCCTTTGAACTGTATTCCATGATTCATTAATGCTGAGAATTGCTTCTTTTCTTATGAACTTCAAACTGATGAGCTAAACAAATTCATGCAACTTTACTTTGCACAAGGTATTGCCTTTCTAATATCTGTATCCAAGAAAGTGTAGTAGTCTGGGAAGACATGCAATGGTAGCCATTGGTTAGAAGCTGGCAATTCTGCTAGGGATAAGATCTATAATAAAACTTTTTAAGCTCTTGTAAGCCTAACACATGAGATAATAAAGGGTCTCTTTGATGTTATTTTCATATGAAAGCCTGTACTACCATGCTTAATTTGAGTGCTGCCGAGCTTTCTGCCTATTGTTGGTAATATTCAGCTTCTTTGTTGGTTGAAATTTTCTCTCACATTGCACTCTCTGCAGCTGACAGCTATACTCAGCACGCTGTTGTGCAATCTGCTTTACCTGCTGCAGTACAGGTGTGTTGAGGAGGCTTGTCATGAAAATGTTGTGCCATCAAACAGGATAGCAGTTGTCTGTCCGCCCTCATTTTCCAGAGCACAACACAGCATAGTTTCAGCCTGCCAAAGAGTTTCCTAGGCATGGCAACCAACTGCAACAGTCAGATCTTCCTATTCCTCACAGGACTTCAGCCTTCAGTTGACAAGTCATAGCATTGCTCAAAATTTCAGGCTTGCAGTCAACAGAATTAGCTGTTTCTTTTTAATTGGGTCACAACAAGAATGCTGGCACATTCTAGCTTTTCTGGTAGGAAGGCAAAAAACGTTATTCTGAGAGAAAAGGGTAAGAGTACATCCATCAACCTGCTGCCAGCAGTCCCACTTTTAAATTGCATTCATCAAGGAGCAATGGTACAACTCTTTTACATCTTTCTTTTGTCATCTTACCTGTGAAATATACAAGTGCTCCATTCTGTTATTTTTTAGACAAAATGGTCACTAGAAGAAAGATAAACATTTATGCAACTTACATCAAGCTATCCTATTGCACTGCTGTGCATCTTGCTAAACTTGAGTTCCATCTCTTAAAAGCTGTTATGCAAAAAATCCCCACACAAATACAGATAAAAATGCTGAAATAAGGGAAGACAGAAAATTATAACCTGTTAAATTGAGAGCAGCTTTTTACTAGGTTGGAGGCTGTTATGAACATTAAGTCTTTCAGTCTAACAATAAAAAGAAATCCCTCCTCTCAACTAAACTATTTGGTTGGCAAAGCATGGAAGAGTGTAAACAAAAAAAAGAAAAAAAAAAGACTCAGTATCAGCAGTAATTCTTCAGCACCCCTGCTGGAAACTATGCAGTACCCTAGTTAATTTCAGATGGGTCTGGCACAAAGTAGCTGAAGGACTATCTTTCACCTCACAAATTCTGACACTTTTTACGCTATATTCTCTATTTTTAAGTGTTTTTAAAGCAACTAGTCTATCTGTGGATTTAGGTATTGATCTAGGCTCAGTTGTGCTGAGACATCAATTTACTAATCAGTGTCTGCTATGCTTTATATTACTTTTCATTGCTCCCTCCATGCAGCAAAAATAGCTCAATTATTTCAGAAGCAGTACAGAGGGTGATGTTATTCTGTATGGTGGCAGAATGAATTTCTGCCTCCAAGGTGTTTAACAGCAATCATTTTCCAGGCATTTTATTAAATGCAAGTTTTTCCTTTTCAGCAGGATTTTCAAAATGGGAATATGTTGAGTACAGGGGAGGGAGGGTCTAGTCAGAACTGCTTGCCAGACCTCTGGGGACAGGAAAGGCTGAGAGATAAAGCTCGGAAAATTCAGATGCATCTCTAAATTAGCAAAACATTTTTGGATGGCTGCCCCTCTCTGCTTACCTGGCCTTCATTTGGCACTCCTCCAGCAGCACTGCAGCACTTCTCTGCAGAGCTGCAGCTGAGGGTTACTGCTCTGAGCTTCTCCAATAGGGCTGTAGCAGGAACAAAAAGAGAAAAATCAGAGACAATACAGCGAGAAGGAAAAGGAAAGGTTTTGCAGTGGTGGGATTTGTCTGTGATTTTGCTGATCTAAGTAGCAGAACAAGCTCTCTGAAGAGGCTGCTGTGATATTAAGTCACCAGCCCCAAGGTTTCCCTCTGTTTATGCAGACCAAGCTGTGAGAGTAACTCACATTGAAATTTACTGAATCCCCTCATAAACTTCTCTGAAAAGCAAACCTATTTTGAATTTACTCTAAAACCCTCTTATTCCTCTCCCTCTTCCTCCCTTTCTACATCCTAATTTGAGGCATGTACTAACCAAAATTAGATACAGATAGAAAAAGCTGGAGATTTTAAGATAATTTTTTTCTTAATATTTTATGAAAGTAGAATTAACATGTTCATTTCAAAAATGTAAAAATCAAACAGACTTTTTCTTTCTCATTTTTCTCTTACCTACTATCATTGAAACCATTCAAAGATTAAAAACTGTTTCAGAAGCTCAAGAGAAATTCAGTCCTATGCATAAGTTAAGCACCTCAGCCTGTCACCTGGCTTAAACTAACTGGTTTCTATCTCTCCTGAGGGATGTGAATGAGAAGAAGGAGAGACAGAAAAGCATGGTTAAGGCACTCATTATTTCAGAGGGAGAAGTACTTCTATTGAACACAAAGAAAGTGATGCTGTCTCTCTTGGTATATGAGAACTTGAGGAATAAAAGTAAAGTCAAACTGTAAATTACCACAGGTAGAAGTTTAGTAGATGTAGGGTGAATTTGTTTTCCCCTCTAGTAATTCTAATTTCACCATGTGCTGAAGAAGCATGTCAAAACCTAATATGTACCTGTTAAGGGTTTTCTGCATCTTGCTCTAAACTAGCATAGATTTCCTATGAGAATACAACATTTCAAATAATTGCCTTTGCCAGCTGTACCTTGGAACATCAGCGTAGCAATGCCCCAGATACAGTCTATGCTCTGCCAACTGAAATGAGAACAAAAAGCTGGGAATGGCAAAATGAAGAACCTATTGATGACAGGGTATGATACTCTGCGGATAGAGGATAACAAAATTTTCTTCATTCTGAGCACTCAGGGAACAGACAAGAAAAGGGGACCTCCAACCAACCCAATTCAGATTCAGCAGCTTCATAAAAACAGCTCAACTTGTTAAGGAATTTGTTTCTTACTTTTATATGCTAATGTTGAAAGTTAACAGCAAAAGATCATATTCTGAGGAATCACAATCCACCTCCAAATATGCACTCACTCACTAGAATACCTGCAAGAGAAGTCAAACAGACGTCTGTGAGCCTAACATAGACCTACATGACAAATTCTTAAAAAAATGTGGAGATTTATTAACAAATGTAAAAAAAAGTAAGTAGTATCCATTTGAAGATATATAGAAAAGGCAAAACACTGTCCCAGCTCAAGTTGTACTCAACAAAACCAGTACAACTCACTGCTCCAGCTAATATTGAGGAACAATTCAGTGCATGCAGCTCAGGTGCAGCTTTGCTGGGAGTTGCTGGTTCAGTTCTGGGTGGGAGCCCAAGGCAAGATGCCAGGAACTGCCAACCCTTGGCCCAACAAAATGCCCTGGGACCTGCAGCATCAGCTAGGGGACCAGACACTGAGGCACAGCACGAGCTGATGGCCCAAGAGGAGCAGAGATAGTTTTGCCCTTGGACTGTGAGAGTATAAAAGCCCACGGGTTCCTTTGTTGGGGGGTCTCTCCTTGGAGGAACCAGTTGGAGCTGTTTCTGTGTTACTGCACCCTGAATAAACTCCTTTATGGAACAAGACATCTGAGGCTCTCCTAAGAGAAACCTGGTGTCAAGCTGGTAGGAAACCTCTGGTTTCCTACCATGTGAGAGTGGGGTGTGTGGGGTGCCTTTTTCAAAGGGACTTCAGTCTCAGCAGTTGAAGTCTGTGGTAGTGGAAGTGTGACTATCAGAGTCCTCCTGAATGGTCAGATGGGGAAGTTTCCTTAACACTGGCTCCTGGTAAATGTCCCTTGTATTTGATGAGATCCATGAAATTCTACATTATGTGTGACTTACATGTCATTTACCAGGTTGGATACTACATGCTTCCAAATTTTAATCCAAATTCAACAGATTTATAGCTACTGAACCAGCAGGTTGTTCCTTAAATCAGAGGGGAAACGGCACTTCAGATTGCTGAGGACCTTGAAAAATAATTTTCTTATATGCTTTGGGCTTCAGTAAGACTCTTCCAGCCTATTTGTTTCCCAGCTCTCACGACATGCTAAGCAAACAAAAACCAGATAATTAAAGTGGACCAGGTAATAAGGAGGGATGATTTGCACATTGGAGAGAAATATTGATCTTTCTACCATTTACATACCAACTACCTGAAGTATTATTTAGCTGAATTAGATCTTTAAAGGTCAGAAGTAACAGAAATACAGCAAAAGACAGTAAGAATCTGCAGTGAAGATTTCTGCAAAAGCCATAAATCACACCAGATGCTTGAACAACTGTGGAGGAAGGGGATGGAGAAGAAGAGATTGGAATACCCTGGGACGAAGCCATCAATCATATGTAACTCACACCCATTGTTCCAGAAAATTCCCTGTTCCCCACCTTTCCATTGGGTCTCTTCCCTAAGAACACCCTCTCCCCGTTTCCTTATTGGTGTACCCTTGTCACCCCACCTCCATACCCCCTTCCTAGTGTCCCACGTGTACCCCAGTCCCACCTACCCCTGCCCCATTAAAAACCCCGTTCCCCCTGGGTTAGGGGCTCGGCGCCCTGGCTCCGGTACCCTTCAATAGAGCTGTGAAAAATGCATGTATTTTATGATTGGCTTTTCGCAAATATTAAAATGAATATTATATGTGTTGTGTTAGAAAGAAATGATGTATTAATTCTTTTAAGTACTGTGTTAAATATAGATTTAGGTAATAAAAATTGTTAAAATAGAAACTATGCTGTGTAAGATGCTTTGTTTAACAGAAAGGACTTGCAGCGAGATAGTAGCCACAAGACACCTAAATCTTTCAGAGAAAGGGAATTTATTGCCTTCTTATCAGAAGAAACTAACTTCTTCCCACTTTGGAGGCGCTGTTAGGATTAGAAGGAAGAAGCTGACACTGACCAGACAGAATCCTGTGTTTGAATGGAATTTATGCATCATGTATGAAGTGTATGAATATGCAACAGGCTATTGTTCTTAAGGGTTAATCCTTTGTTAACATGGGTCCTTTTTCAGGCTCGTGATGCCCAGAAAAGGGTACCCGGATGCCCGTAACTCTTTGCATTTATTGTCTCATATTGTCCTAATTCAATTTGTCCAAATTGTTATTACTCTAATTGTGTCACTATTCTTTTTAACCATTTTATTACTATTAAACTTTTAAAAATTTTAAAAACAAGTGACTGGCGTTTTTCACACTCCCTGCCTGTGCCCTCGGACTTTCCGAAAATATAGCCTGTTGGAGCTACATGGGAGTCTCCGTGCCCTCCCCTACCTGGCCGTGCCAACACATCACCATCCAGGACTGTGTGTGAATGTGTCAATTGGCGGCAGGGACACGCCAAGGAGGGATCCGCCTGCACCCACCCAGGTCCTGCTCCCAGCAGCAGCCAGGACCCCGAAAACCCACACACAACCTTGTACTTTTCACTGCTATAACACACACACACAAAAGAAGGCTCAGTTGTCATTGTTGAATAGAAGAATAATAAAATTCAGGAGAGGTTTCCTATGTTTAGCACGCTGTTCTACATCTGTGAAGCGCTCAGAAGCAAGAGGAGTTTGCACTGAATTTTTCAAGAAGCATCGAAGTGAGCTTTCTTCCCCCTGTCCTTTTATTCTAGCTCTGAAACCATTGGAAGAATATGAGAATGCTTTCTCCAAAGCATGCTTTCTCTCAATCCATGCTCTCTTGGATTGTTTCATCATGTGTCTCTCATTTCTGCCTTAATAAAGTGTACAAGAAATCATCAAGAGCTGTGAATCTCTGTAATGCACAGACTGATCATCTACAACATTAAAATACTTCTTTTTACCTCAACCGTTTAAACACAAATCTTCTGGAAGGCTGAAGCATACTATTTCTTATAATAAGTGTAAGAAGTGGCTTGACATAACTATAAGTACCATGACATGCAAATTTGTGAGGCCATCCATAAGTATTTTTCTAGAATGTCTGTTGTCAGCTCTATTTAATAACTATTATTGATTGGAACAAGAGAATCCAGTGCGCCCTCAGTCTATCTGTGGAGGACACCAAGTTGGGCAGGAGTCACTGATGTGATGCAGGCTCTGGATGGGGACCTGAACAAACTAGATTGATCCACTGAGGTCAGTTCTGTGATGTTCAACAAGGCAAAGTGCCAAATCTGTCCTCTGGTCACAGCAACTCCATGCAGCACTACTGGCTTGGGGAAAAGTGTCTGGAAATCTGCCCAGCAGGAAAGGACCTTGGAGTGCTGGTGGACAGCACCTGAACATGAGCCGTGAGTGTGCCCAGGAAGGCCAATGGCATCCTCAGCAATGATGTGGTCAGTAGGACCAGGTGGGTGATTGTCCCCCTGTACTCATCACTGTGGAGGTCACACCTTGAATCCTTTGTTTAGTTCTGCACCCCTCAGTACAAGAAGGACATTGAGGGCCTTGGAGCATGTCCAGAGAAGGGCAACAGAGCTGGGAAGGGTCTGAAGCACAAGACTAATGAAAAGAGGCTGAGGGAGCTTGGGGTGTTCAGCCTGGGAAATCCGAGGCTCAGGGATGACCTTATCACTCTCTACAGCTACATGAAGGGAGGGTGTAGCCAGGTGGGGATTGGTTGGTGCACCCAGGTTACACATAACAACAACACAAGGGGAAATGGCATCAAGTTGAGCTAGGGGAGTTGTACATTGCATATAAGGAAATATTTCTTCACAAAAAGGTTTGCCAAGTTCTGGAACGAACTGTCAAGGAAAGTGGATGAGTCATGATTCCTGGAGGTATTAAAAGACATGTAGATATGGTGCTTAGGGATATGCTTTGGTGGGGCATTTGACAGAGGCAGATCAACAGTAGAGTATGATGATCCTAAAGGGTTTTTCTAACCTGACTGATGCTATTATTTTACCAGTTAATAAGAAAATTAGATATTGCCAGGACTTCCCATTGGCAAAGATGAAACAAACCCAGATGGGTGATAAGTAGGCAATAAACCACATTAATTTTTATTTACTACATTGCAGTCTTCAACATTCTCACAAGGGAGGCAGAGGAGCAGGTACAATCTCTTCAGTCTTGATACCATTTACAGCACTCAAGGAAACAGCATGAAACTGAGTCAGAGAAGGTTTAGGTCAGATGTTAGAAATTGTTTTTCTTCAACAGGGTGGCTGGGCACCAGAACAGGATCTCCAGGGAAGTGGTCGTAACACCAAACCTGACAGAGCTGAAGAAGGCATTCAGACAATGCTCTCAAGGCACACAGAGTGTTTTGTAGGGCTGTCCTGTGCAGGGCAAGGAGCTGACTCTATAATCCTGATGAGTCCCTTCCGACTCAGCATTTTCTATGATTCTATATAGTGAGAAGTAAGATCATATGAAGATTTCCAGTTAATACATATGATTTTGTTACAGGGATCATATCATCTGTGTTATCCATTTGGTCACATTGAATGTGCTATTGAACCTATTCTGTTACATAATCTGCTGTTATTTTCTACACAAACATAACAAAAGAAGCACCCCATCCCACAATTTTGTTGTTTTGCACATGAAACCATGTGTATCCACTAATTCCTGTCAGGAAGAACCTGAAATCTTCTTCATAGTCATGGACATAATAACAGTTAACGAATATCCTATCATAGTGTATGGCTTTGTTAGAGAGAACCACTCTTTCCTTTGGAAAGAAACAGTCTTGAATTTACAGATCTATTTGCCTGTGTTTTTCACATTTGTTTCCTGTTTTCATTCCATGACTAGTCATCAAATATTTGAATGTTTCCTGCATATGCTTCATGGTAGCACAGAATTTTGCTATATTCTGTCAAAATTCTGTAAAATTCTGGCCATTCTGTGAAAATTATTTCACTTTTTACGTACTCAGTGTGTCGAATGATTAAACTGATGGTTAAATTATTTAGATTCTGGTGGATTTTTTAAACTCTTGTAATTTTCCAAGTAATTTCTGTGAAGCATCAAATGCATTCATTCTCCCCTCAGTTGAAATTAAAGCTCACAGGGAGGCTTATGTGTGAAAAAATGTATTCTGACTTCCTATTTGGTGAGTTATTGTTATAT